CCCCCCCCCCCCCCCCCCGGGGCTCCTGCCAGCCACTGGGGCCCTCAGCCACATGGAGAGTGGCCACACTTCCAGCGCTGTTTCCCAACCATGGCTGTAGGACTTGGAGAAGTTGAGAAAGTTGGGATCCCAAGAAACTGCCACCCAAGGGCCACACACCAGAGAGGGTCTCAGGAAGTAGTCCCCAGGAACCCCAGTCACAGAGTTAGGGGACATGCGGGTCACCTCCCTTGGAGGAACACGGCCCCAGGAAGATCCGGACCAGTCTGTACCCAGGACCTCCCACTTTGGCCCACACAGAAACAGCAAGGACTCCGCCCGCAGAGAAAACACTGCACTGTTTAGAGTCAAAATAAAGTGACTCCAGACCCATGGGAGAGCAGCCCCACCAGCCATCCAGATGCGAGGCCCTTCCAGGTGTGAGCTCCGCCTGTGAGCACCCACACTGGCCCCAAGTCAGGTGACGACCGGTCAGAGTTAAGAAGGTCCGGGCTAAGACGGTTAAAACCCAACACTCACAGGGCAGGGAGAGGCCCACATCAAGCAAACAGGAGGAAAAGGACACCACAGACAGGCTGGCACAGGGCCACCCAGCCAGCACCTCCACAGGAACCCTAGGCCTGCGTCTCTGGAGCTGTGGCTGGAGGAGCAGGCAGGGCTGACAGGTAACAAAGCGCCCCGAAGCTCTCCAATCTGCAGCTTTCCCTATCCCTGGGGCCACCTCTACCTACAGCTCCATGAGCACGTGGGCATGAGTGTGGCCACCTCCTGGCCATGTCACTCGGACCCACACTCGGCCAGCCCCGCATCTCCACAGACGTGAGAGCCTGCCCCGCCCCGCACGGCTCCTGCTAAGGGCAGGACATGGCCTCTCCAGTAAGCCGACTCCGCCCCCAGCCTGGGGCAGCTGGGGGACAAGGACCTACACATGTGACCAGGGCAGCCCTGCACCACGACTGGCACCCTTACGAAGAGGAGATCCAGACAAACACAAATGGTACACATGTCCTCGGGTCCCCAGGCTTCTGCTGGGACACAGGCGCATGTGGACCCAAGGATGGGGCGGCCTGAGCAGCCACACTCACCTGCTCTTGTCACCTCCCTCGGGCTCATCCACCTCGTCGGCGCTGCAGGTGGCACTGGAGTCGCTGTCCTGGGGGGCACCCGAGCCCTTGGCAGCAGGGGCTTTGCTGGCAGCACCCTCCTTCTCAGCCTTGAGCGGGCCCTCAGGTGTGACCTCTGCATCGTCCTCTGCACCCTCGTCCAGGGTACCCTCGGCCGCCTCCTGCACGCACTCACTCTTGACCGGCTCCTCGGGGACCACCCCAGGCTCCTCCATCTTCACCGAGGCCCCCACCAGCCCCTCAGCTGGAGATTTCTGCTCCTCCCTGTCTTGGGCTGGGGGCACTGAAGCGGCCACCTCCTCCTCCTTGGGGACCACAGCAGGGGCTGCAGCGGGTGACGAGGGGGCCATTGGGGATGCAGGGTGGCTGCTGGCCTCAGGGGCCGGGGTGGACTCAGCGGGAGCTGGGGTGTCATCCAGTGGGGGTGTGGGTGGTGGGGCGGCCGGCCCATCAGGGCCCACAGCAGGCAGGGGCTTGGGTCCACTGGGCCCTGGCTCCTTAGCTGCTTCAGCAGCACGTGGGGAGGGGACACTCTCTGTGTCCGAGCCATTGTTGATGGCGGCTGTGCAGGGTGAGAGACAGATGGTGAGAAACACTCCAAAACAACCTGAGGTCCAGAAGCCTGCTGTCCTGCCCTGCACCCCAACCCTGAGGCCGAGCTCTGGGGGCCTGGCGGATGTCACTGCCCCATGGGGGATCTGCATGGCAGCAACTGGTGGGTTCTCAAGGCCTTGGGTCAATCTGAGGGACAGCTAAAGAGCCCATTCTGCTGAGCCTCGTCTGGGTGCTGCCCTGAACAGCACGCAAAGGCACACGCAGGCCAGTCCCAGCCTGTTTCCTGTATGTTGAGAACCCTGGCCCTGAGCCAAGGGGAACAGACAGTGGGGACCTTGTGCCACCGCTGGTCCCACAAAGGAGACCAGAACACCGCACCCCTCTTGGCTTGCACACCAGCCACTGGCTGCTTGGCTTCAGGGTCACAGGGCCTGGTCAGGGCGTGGGCACCTGGCTCCACTCCTAAAACCCACGCTTGCCTCGTCCTGGCCTCAGTTTCCCCCAGTCTGTTAAACGTGGACACCTGGCAACCGAGTGTTAACAGGCAGAGGTGCGTCATGAGCACCCGGGCAGACCCACTGCAAGGGGGAAGCTGCAGGGTGGCTGCGAACAGCGCGGAGCAGGTGCAGAGGCGGCGCGTGCAGGCAGAGGGAGCTCCCAGAAGGGGCGCAGCAGGCGCCTGCAGGGTCCCCAGCCTCACCACACACACCGGCCACACTGTACCTGCACCACTGCATTCCCCTCGGGGGGCCTCGTTCACAGGGACCGGCAAGGCTGGAAGGAAGTTAGAGAGGAGTCAGTGGACTTGAGCAGCATGGGAAGCGAGGGAAGGTACTGCCCAGGGGGGCAACGGGGAGGACAAGCCTCACCCCCATTGCAAATGGAGAAACTGAGGCATAGGGTTCACGGGGCACCGAGGCCTCCCTGCAGAGGTGCAGAAATGTCGTCCCTAGCCACCAACCGCCCTGCCCTTCTGGTGACAGCACGTGGGTCCTGGGTGGGACTGGGTCAGGTCCTGTGGGGGCAGCCAAGAGCTGTGACAACACAGGAACACTGGACCCCACCCTCAAAGAGGGGAGGGGAGGGCAGAGAGCAAGAACACTGCAGAATTAGGAGGAAGGCCTGGGGCTGCAGGCTCATCCTTGGGTGATCTACGCAGGAAGGAGGCGACACGACTCAGCCACGGTAGCCTCCCCATCCCCAGCCACATGCTGGGACCACCCTGTGACAGTGATTCTCCTGTCCCTACCTCAGTTTCCTCACCCATGAGATGGGTATGTGGCCTCAGCTGTGGGACCAGCCTGGCTGTCCTCGGCAGGTGTGCGACCCTCACAGACACAGGGAGACCCCCACCCCCACTCCTGGTCTACACAGTGTCAGCTGCTGCACCCACGCTAAGCCGTGTCCGGCTCCTTCCACCCTGCCATTTGTGTCCCCCACAGACCTGCAGGATGTACACTGCCATTGGGAACTCCTTTCCTGACTACACGTAGGGCCCAGCTGGGACTCTTCAACCAGCCCGGCTGCCCAGCCAGGGAGACCCACATCCGTCCAGCGCCCCCCCCCCCCAACTCGGCAATGGCAGTTGAGCGAGGGCCCAAACATCTGTCTGGCCCAGAAATGGGGACCAGGCTGTGGACACTCCACGGCTGGCACCGCCAGGCCCATCTGAGGCCCATCTTCGCCAGGTGCAGGGGCACGGAGCCAAAGAGAAACAGAAGTGGGGACTCCAGCTACAGGACAGGGTGGGGACACAGGTGGCTAGAGGGGTCACAGGGCACAGAGCCTGTTTCAGACACCTACAGTCGACTCCTATCACTGAGAAGAGGTGCTGGGATGGAGTGACCCTCCCACATGGGGTCCAATGCTCCTTGCACAAGGGGCACAAGAGTGGCCAGGGATGGGGCAGATGTGCGGGTCTGACCCCAGCTCTGAACTGAGACACCAAGCAGCCCGGACCTGCTCCCTGTGTGGTCAGGTCAGAAGGGACTGTAAACTATGGGACCACGGGTATGGGGATCATCACAAAGCATGCACTGACGGGTGGGTTGGTTCGGCTCACGTCAGTAAACTTGAAAATTAATCTTGGTCAAAACTATTCTCAAGGGGGCCAGGGAGATGGCTCAGTAGAGTAAGTGCTTGCCTGGCAAGGGCAGGGGTCTGAGTTCAATCCCCAGTTCTGCCAAAAATAAAAAAACAAATTTTAAAAAAAAAAAAAAAAAAAAAAAAAAAACTATTCTCAAAAGTAGACTCTTGGTGGGGTGAAAGGATATACCCCTCGCCTCAACCCTTGGGAGGCTAAGGCAGAAAGCGGACCAGAGCAAAAAGCCCAGTCCAGGCAACTTGGAGACTTAGTGAAATCCACTCTCCAAAAAAAGGTCTGGGGATGCCATATGGGACGAAGGCCCTCGGTTCAATCTTCAGTGCCACAAGAGACCGGGGTCAACAAGACTGTGCTAGGCCTGTGGTTGCTGGGCAAGGAGTGGACTTAGGATCCAGGACGGTGTGTGGCCCAGCTCCGGAGAGCTGCCCTTGTCTACTGCAGTGGCTGTCACTGCCCTCCTACTCACTCACATGTTGGGGAGGAGAGCGAGGAACCTCCCACAACCCAGTGGCTGCCCCTGCACCTGCCCTCACCTTCCACCTCCTCAGCCATCTCTTCTTCATTCCCACTGGCACCCGATGCCTCCATCTCCTCGTCTTCCACCACAGGTGGAAAGGCTGCCTCCTCATTGGCTGTGGCTGGTGTTTTCTTCTTCTTCCTCCGGGCGTTCCTCTCCTTCTCCTGGGCACAGGATGGCAGGGGTGTGCATGCCAGGTCTGGGCTGGTTGCCTGGGGACTCCCCATGGCCCGACCTGGCCTCTGTGGCCTGCACACAGGTGGCTATTTTTACCCGGAGCTGAGATACATCCTGGAGGCTGTGAGTGCTTTTGCCTGTCCACAGGGAAGGGTGCTGCCCAGGGACTCGCAAGCACCCCGTGCCTCGGAGTACCCGAGATGGAGTAGCTCCCCATGCAACACAGACGGGGACGTCAAAGTGCTCAGGCCCACGAAAAACTGGGAGCACGCAGAGGCCCTGGACAGTCAGAGGGCTGGTGGGGACACTCAGCCACATGTGCAAAGGCCCTGTGGCACCAGCAGGCTGGGGTGCAAGGAGCAAAGTCCTGCGGCAAAAGCCTTCCTCTCCCTGGCTCCTCTACCATGAGGAGGTTGTCACTGGATGGCAACACAGCACCCTCCTGGGTCATCCAGGCGGTGTGTCTGCCCTGTGCCCAGCGCAGGGGCTGAGAGGTTCTGCAGAGTGGCTCACTAAGCACCTGCTGGGTTCACACGCCCATCCACAGACCGCCTGCCCTGAGCTCTGTCCACATCAGCGAAGCCCTCCCTGTGCCCACCTCAGCCAGGCTTTATCACCAGGTGAACGCCTGCCTGCTTGCAGCTGTGCTCCCAGCACACCTGGAGCCCAGCCTGGCTCAGATCAGGTGCTCTCAGGTGGCCTCCACCTCACAGACAAGGACACTGGCTCAGAGAGGCAGAGACACCTGCCCACAACCACACAGCCCCGGGGTGAGGGGCCCCTCCACTACCCAGGTGGCTGGGGCCCATGGGAGAAGACAGGCAAGGCCAGGGCCTGATGGAGCACAAAGGCCGGAAGTGGAGCCTCAGGGCCTGGATTGCAGATGCACATGCAAGGGGGGAGCCTTTGGCCACAGAAGGAGAGGAGGCCACGGAGGACCCAGTGCCAAGTGTTACATAACCCAGGGCTCACTCCGCCTGGCTGGCTGCACGACCCCGCTTCCTGCTGACGCCACAGCGGGCACGCTGAGGCCAGTGCAGTGGGAGGTGGGAGGGGTTGCTGCTGAGCCTTCCATCACCTCCTTTCTGTGCCGGGGGAGGGGTCTGCCGTGCCTCTGGGGACCTAAAATCTGCCTGCAAGCCAGATATGTCCCAGCATTCACCCCGACACCAAGTGGCCAGGACTCTTCCCCCTCCAGGTTCTCCTGGCCTTCAGCATCCACCTGCCCCCACCCAGTCCAGCAGGTCACCGCCCTGGGCAGCGCCCAGGCTCCACCTCTCCTGTGCACACCGCTGCTGGCTTCCAGCTACGCAGCCAGCAGCTGAGCGCTCCGGCAGGCACAGAGCTGCCTTTCCCATCAGCCTGGCCTGTCCCACTCGGACTGGAAAACCACTGCTCCAAGAGGACTACAGCAGCTGGACACTAATGGGCATCCCTCGCACTCTAAAGCCCATCGTGGCTCCCAAGGTCCAGGACAGCAATCCCAGCAGAACCCCCACGTGTGCGCCCTCTGGGAACCTGGCCTGGCCCTACAGATACAGCAGACACCCAACAGGGACTGCAAGAAAACGTAGAGGGAGTGCCTTTGCCTAAGGGAATGAGCTGAGGCACCCCCACCCTCCCGACACATCTGCCACACCCACCAGGCACTGGGTCTGCCTCGGGCACCATTGTGGCTCTTGTACAGGGCACTGGCAATGAGCTGCCCATTCTAAGGACCTTGTGCACATTGCCCTTCAAGGTGGATGCTATTGCCCCCATTTCACAGGCAGAAAAACTGAGGCACAGGGTGGGCAGGCCCAGACTTTCACCCAGGTCTCTAGGGTGCCTCTGTTGGCCCACCACATCCCAGACTGTGAACCTCACAGAGGAAGGGACCGGCGGCAGGCAGCCACCCCATGCAGGCCTGAGTCCCTCCCTCATATAGCCTTATGTGGTTAAGCCTACTGTCCTTTGCTCCCATGGAGAAACTGAGGCAGGCAAGCAGAAGCCACTGCCAGCAGTCACACAATGGATTACACTGACAGACTCGGACTTGATCCCATTCAGCCCCTCCAGCAGCACCCTGGTTCTCCACACTAAATTGTCATAGCTGGGGAAGCAAAGGGCACAGCCTAGGAAACCTGAAAAACCAGAAAGGGCCACAAGGCC